AATAAGAATAATAATAATATACGTAATATATATAATATATACGCTAATACACCCCCGCAGTCGAAACGGGAAAGGAAAGGACGTGGAGACTGGAGACAAACTGTTGGAACAGTTGAGTAGGGAGTCATTTCGTGAAGATATCGGCAAACTGGTTGGCGGATGGGACGTGAAGAACTCGAAAGTGTCCCAAAGCAACTTTGTCTCGGACAAGGTGGATATCGATCTCCACATGTTTCGTACGAGAGTGTTGAATAGGATTGCTGGATAGGTAGACGGCACTGATGTTGTCACAGTAGACAATAGTGGCTTTCAAAAGTGGGCAGAGCAACTCAGAGAGTAGGTTGCGTAACCAAGTCGTTTCGGCGACGGCATTTGCGACAGCTCGATATTCGGCCTCCGCACTCGATCGAGAAGTAGTGACCTGTCGTTTGGAGGACCAAGAGATGAGGTTGTTGCCGAGGAAAACACAATAGCCCGATGTCGAACGACGAGTGTCAGGGCAGCCACCCCAATCGGCGTCGGAGTAAGCGATAAGGGAGAGGTCCGGATTTGGGGAGAGCTGAAGGCCGTGATCGAGAGTGCCACGAATGTAGCGAAGGATACGCTTGAGAGCAGCCATATGAGGTTCCCTCGGATCATGCATGAATAGACATATTTGTTGCACAACATAGCAGATGTCGGGACGAGTGATCGTGAGGTATTGCAGTGCACCGGCAAGGCTGCGATAAATAGTAGGGTCAGCAACGGGGGGTCCAGTGGTCGAAGACAACTTGCTCTTTGTGTCAGCCGGCGTAAGACAAGGGTTGCAGGAAGCCATGTGTGCACGCTCTAGTATCTCGTCGGCGTACTTGCGTTGAGAGAGAAATAGCCCATTCGACGAGCGAGTAACTCAGATGCCGAGAAAGTAGTGAAGATCGCCAAGATCCTTCATCGCGAACTCTTGATTGAGGGCAGCGATGATAGATCGGAGCAATTCAGGTGTGGAGGCCGTAAGTACAATGTCATCGACATACAGCAGAAGGTAGGCGCATGAACTGTTGCGACTGTCGCGTGAATTGTTGCGACAGTACACAAAGAGTGAAGTGTCGGACTTGCATTCTCTGAACCCCATGGTAGTAATGTGAGATGCAAAACGCTTGTACCAAGCACGTGGTGCCTGCTTGAAACCGTAGAGTGCTTTGTTGAGACAACACACATGAGTGGGGCGAGATGGATCGACGAATCCGGGAGGTTGCTCGCAGTAGACAATTTCAGAGAGATTGCCATGTAAGAAGACATTTTTCACATCAAGCTGGTGGATTGGCCATGATCGCGAGAGAGCAATACTGAGAACTGTTCGAACAACCCACCGTGTTTTGTATCGCTCAAGGGAGCCATCAGACTTGAGTTTCTGTTTGTATATCCACTTACCAGAAATAACATTAGTGAACGGGGGGCGGGGCACAACATTCCAAGTATTGTTTTTAATTAAAGCAGTATATTCCTCAATCATGGCGTTTCACCAATTTTGGTCAAGAAGAGCTTGACGATAGTTGGTGGGAATGGAATAGGTAGAGGACGCAATGAGAGAGAAAGGGACTTTGGGTTTGTGGATGCCCATTTTACTGCGAGTCACCATAGGGTGAGCAGGGGGAGGTGTGGGGGTAGGAGAAAGAGATGTGGGAGTTGGAGAAGGGGTTGTGAGCAGGTCGTGGTCGAGAGGTGGTGCTGCAGGTGAAACAGGTGTTGGCTGTGTTATAGGACTGTTGGACGAACTATTGGAACAGTGTGGTTCACTGTTGGAACAGTTGGAGGAACTGTTGCAACAGTTAGACAAACTCTGAGGGAGGAGGAACAGGGAGGGTGTGTTTTCGTCCAAGACAGAGGTAGGAAGTGTGTTTTTGGGGGGAGTTGACTCAGCAAAAGGAAAACGAGTTTCGTCGAAGGTAACATGACGAGAAATTATGATTCGGCCAGTGGATCTATCAAGGCAACGATAGCCTTTGTGAGAGGAAGGGTGACCGAGATAGACACAAGGAGTTGAACGGGGGGCGAGTTTATGTGGTGTGGTGGCGGTGAGGTTGGGATAACAGAGACAACCGAATACTCGAAGATGAGAGTATGTAGGTTTGATGAGGTAAAGAGCTTCGTGAGGAGTCCGGTTTTGTGTGGTTTTGGTATGTAAGATATTTAGTGGGTGTGTGGCCATATGAAGGGCTTCGACCCAATAAGTAGGAGGAAGATGAGCTTGAAAGATGAGGGATCGAATCATGTTAGTGATAGTGCGGATCAGTCGTTCTGCGTGCCCGTTTTGAGGGGAGGTGTGGGGACACGAGAAACGATTTAGGATGCCGTGTTTAGTGAAGTAGTATTGAAAATCCGCATTTTTTAATTCACGACCATTATCACTTTGTAAGGCTTTCAGGGGATGTTGGAATTGAGTTTTGAGAAGTGTATGAAAATTGACAAAGGTTGTAAAAGCGTCCGATTTATTTCGAAGAGGAAAAGTCCATAAATAATGGGTAAAATCATCAACTAACACAAGGTAATATTTGAAACCCGTAAGACTAGAAACATGAGAAGTCCATAAATCAGCATGAATAATTTGAAATGGAGCAACAGTAGTAGATTTTCGAGAATAAAATGGTAGACGAAAATGTTTGCATAATTGACAGGCATTATAAAGAGACTCCCTATGGTCTTTATTATGGGAAAGAAAAGTGCTAGAAAATAAACGGTACATGACGTGTTTGCCGGGATGGCCTAGACGCCGATGCCAAAGAGTGCGAGACGAAGGTGTTGCGACAGTGAGGAAAGCAGCGGGAGGTGAGGTGGGAGGAGGGACGCCAAATGGATATAGGTCACCGGAGCTATTGCACCTGAAAATCTCGACTCGACTCCGAACACCCTTCACAGAAAAACCAAATGGGTCAAATTCAATCGAACATGAGTTGTCGCGGGTGAACTTTCGAACAGAAATAAGGTGTTTGACGATATTGGGTGTGACATAGACATTTGTGAGGCAGAAAGGAGTGGTGGGAAGAATTGTGTGGCCTATGTGGGTTATGGGGAGGGTGAAACCATTACCGACGACGACATGTTTGGGGAAATTACTGCCAGGATGAAAAACAAAATTGAAATTACCTGAGTGTGGTGCCATATGAGAGGTCGCCCCACTGTCCATGAACCACTGTGACTCGGTAGGCTGCTGAAGTGTCACCGTATTCAAACGGATTGCGAGATCCACCACGTTGGCACTATTGCAGGAATTGTTGCAACTGTTGATGAAACTGTTAGAGCTGTGGCATGGTTGCTGGTGCGGATGAACCTGAGTAGGAGCCGAGTGGCCGCTGTAGGGTTCAGGTGATCCAGTAAAGTAGGCTTGAGCCGCTGGAGTGGATGGGTGGCCCGATGTATTTGGAGCGGATCCCAGAATTGACAGTTGTCGGTAAGGTGCGCGCCAGAGGTGAGATACGCCATGAGCACTATGGTAGCCGTAGTGCTGCATGGGGTGACGGTTAGTGCTGCGACCTCCGCGACGGTTGGATCGGCCACCCCCACGCTGATAGCGCGAAGAACTACCTCCGCGGGAACTGTTGCAGGAACCGTTGCAACTGTTGGATGGACAGTTCGCGTTGGAGGCGTAGAAAACAGCAGCGGTCTGCTCCGGTTCAGCAATTCTTGTTTCTTCCATCTGAAGAAGCGATCGAGTCTGTAGAAATGTGGGAAGGGGATTCTGAAAGGAGATGAGGTTGGCGACGGTCCCATAATTTTTCGGAAGGCCGTGTAGGGTTTGTAGGACGAGTTGTTTGTCGGAGATTGGAATTCCGACATCGGCCAAGTTGTCCGCCGTGGTTTTGATTATTTGGCAATAATCGTGAATGGAGAGAGTGCCTTTCTTAAGGGACTTGAATTTTTCTTCAAGTTGAATGGCTCGATAATCTTTGTTATCGGTGAAGAGAGAAGAGATGGCGGTCCATAGATCACTGGCGGTGGAGGTTTTTGAGAGAACCATGCTGGACAAATCATCGGAGATGGTGCCGTAGATCCAAGATTGGAGGAGATAGTCGGCGCGCTGCCATTCATCGGCGGAAATCGAATCCGGTCGGGGTTTTCCATGTAGAAGATCGGAGAGGTAGAAATGACTGACGGTAATTGTGAAAAAGTGGCTCCACTTTTGATAATTGGGATTTTTCAGATCTAGAGTAACGGGGATAAGAGATTTGATATTAGAGATGGCATGAGCAAGGTGAAAAGGATTGAGAGGGGCGGTGGAGGAAGAAGAAGCGTCGCCGGCCATGGAGAAGAAGAGGGGGCGACGGCTATGGAGAAGAAGGGGTGGTGACGGCTAGGTTAACCTAGTGTCTGATACCATATAGGAGAAATAGATTTGGAGAAAAGAGAGAATGAATATCTCTCGCGTATATTAATTATATATATAGTTACATGTAGGAAACCCTAACCTACTACACAAGGTAACCTATTATACAAGGTAACTAGAATAAATAAGAATAATAATAATATACGTAATATATATAATATATACGCTAATATAAATAAATATAATAATTAAAATTAATAATGAAATATTTAATAATTCATTTAATTTCAAGTTAATTTCATGGAAGTTTCTTCGATGCCATATATAGTAAAGGGTGTGACGTGCTTAATCTTAAGATTTTTTGTTGCGTATGAAAAATCTTAATAATTGAACAATTGGGGAATTATTTACCAATAAAAGAACAATAACTGATTTTTATGACGTGGAGAAAGATGGTACACAAGATTTGGCAGAGCGGTTTTACTTTTGAAAAAACAAAATCAAAGTCAAAGGATGATGACGTGGCATTAATTACAAAAAATCTATTTATTTCCTCTTTCGTCTTCCTTCCTTTTTTTTTAGCTTCTTCATCACTCTCCATCCACCACCACTACCCCGCCGGCGCCGCCACCCCACCACCGCCGCACATCGCTAAAACCACCACACAAATACACACAAACAGCAAAATACAATGAAAAAAAAAAAAAATCAAATTAAAAATTCAAGATCACTTCTCTCTTGATTATTGATATCCTGACATATATATATAATTAAACACGTTTCATCACATTGACCAGTTCCTCTTCAAGCTTGGTTAGATCAATATTGCTTGTGAAATCATTTTCCTGCAATTACAGAAATAATTAGCTAGTAAATCATATAAATATTTCATATATATATATATATATATATATATATATATATATATATATATATATATATATATATATATATATAATATCAAAACCCTTGTTCTAATTAATATTCAAATTAACCAATCACCTGAATCTGAATTTTATGGAGGAACAGTTTATCCACTCTAGTAGAAACAAAGCTAATTACATTCAAACCTCTCTGAAGCAATTTGTCGAACACCTTCGATGGCGAAAAACTCCCCTTATCGATAATACTACTGCTGATTAAAATCTCAAATATTCCACCATTAATGCAAAGATTTATCTTCACACAGAAAGTAGGCGAAGAATTTGCAGCTTCAATGATAACACGATCTTCTCTTGTTTCAGATACATTATTCGACAATTTATTCAACTCGTCTCTCTTTATTCGCATTTCTCCGATTTTCTTTTGCATATTTTTTATGTAGTTCACAGCCTGGTGCATGTGATCTGATACTGCTCTCTTTCCCTAAAAAAAAAAAAAAAAAAAAACACAAATGCTATATCTTTTTAAGTACAACTTTTTAAATATTCAAATTAAAAAAAGAAAATAAAAAATTTAATTAATTAATTAACCTTGACGTATTCGAGAGGAAGAAGGGATCGAAGGGAAGCGTAAAGGAGAGACATTTCTTGCCTTCGCTGCCTTTCGATATCTCTATGCATACTTTTCTTCGACTCGACATTGTTGTTTTCTTCAGCGGTGGCGTTTACTTCAGTCGCGTAGTCTGCAAGCAGCTCTTCGAGTATTTTATCTTGCTCGTCGGAAATTAATATTGAAGGCCCCTCATTAAATAACACCACCCCCTCATTATCGTTTTGTGAACGAAACATCTTTACGGCCGGTTTATATATATATATATATGTACTAAACCAGGCCAGATCCAAAAACTAAAAAGAAAAAAAAAATTCACAGAAGCTTAGAGATAGATCACGATCATTAATTAAGATTTCTTGTTGCATTCAAATAAAAGGGATATATGTTTTTGTGCGTTTTTTTTTATGACGGAAAATAAAACCCTAGCCATTGAATTATTTGCTGAAGTTTTTTTTCTTGAAAAGTGAGGTTATGCAGAATTGAAGGTAGTGAGATTCATACATAAATAGTGAAACCCCAGCCATTAAACCAACAGTGAAAACCAAATCTAGTAGGGCACATTTATATATATATTTTAATCCAAATGGAGATATAAAATTGATTTTTATTGCATTATTATTTTTGAGAGTTCGAATAATAGTAGAGTTGATTAGTAGCTGATAGAATTTATGGTCCCGAATTCGTATTATACAGAGATGTTATCTAAAGTGTTATGACACTTGAGACAACATGCAGCGGAAATATAACTATTGAAAGACAATGCTCAGAATTAAAAATGTTCACAAGTAAAGACTTGTGAACTTGCCCTTTACAGGACGGAAAAATATATTAAAACAGTATTCTAAGAATACAAACAGAAGAGTGCGAAAACTTCTTCCTTATGAATGAATCTTTTTCAAGATCACTCTTACAACCAAATCTAGATACTAAAAGAAAAATATTAAAAATTCTAGATTTCAAAGAATGTACTCATAAAGAGTACGTACAACAGATCCTAGAAAACACACTAAAATTCTCGAGATTAAAACTTCAGCTCTATTTTAGTTTTCTCGAAATCTATCTCAATCTTGAGTCTTGAGTTGGGTATTTATAGACTTGCCAAGCTTCCACTTCTCAGCCCATGATCTGCAAGAAAACCAACCACAAGAGCACTCAAGATAATGAGTTAGTGGGTTAGTTTGGAAGTTAAGATAAATTCCATAATTAAATCCACTAAGCATTACTTAACCCCACTTAGCCCACTAACTAAGATTTAGTTTAGAGTTTAAGAAAAGTTAAAAACACATTGTGAAATTAATTCACGTGTTTCAAACTCCCCCTTTTTAACTTTCTGATCAAAACTAAATCGTAGCCAAAGACTCCCCCTGAGATATTGCTCGAACTCCCCCTGAATTTGATACCATTTGAAAAAACATAGAAACAATAAATTAAAACCAAATTCAGCAAGATAGTCCAACAAAGGAAATAATCAAAGTGCAGTCCAAAACAAAAGTTCAGAGGGAAAATAAACAAAACACAAACAAAAAATATTGTTCATGAAAACAATCTAAAGTAAAATATCCAAAGTCTCCAAGGTCTCCTCAGTTTCAGCTGCTGCTCCTCCTCCATCACTAGATCCACTGCTTTCTTCTTGAGCTTCCCCCTCTTTCTTTGCTTCCTCTTCATTGACTCCTTGCTCTCTGCCTCTAGCATCCAAAGGATGAGATGTTCCTGCTTCAGTTTCATGATCTTTTTCTCCCCCTTTTTGATCAGAAAGAGCCTTCTGAATCATCTCCACCATGGACTGATGATAGGTCATCTGAGCTAGAGAATGAGTAAGTTGCTGCAATAGAAGATCTCTAGGAACAGACACAAGAAGATTAGAAGTGTTGTCAACATGAGGTGCAACACCCTCAGTACCAATATTATTTTGACCTGATTCAGTTGAGAGAAAATCATCTCCATTCCAGGGAAGATCTTGAACATGAGGAGCCCTCAGAAAATTTTGAGACACAGTGATCATGCCTTGTGGGGTGTGAAGATATTCTGAGTCATCTTGGCCCAAATTTTGAGAGAGTAAAATGGAGTAGATGAGAGAAGGATAGGGAAGGTGAGTGGAGGGTGAAATTTTCTGGGCAAGATGACCAATAGTATCAAAGAACAGTTTACCAAAATCCACTGGTAAACCCATCCCCAATTTGTACATGAGTACAGCATGAGGCTTAGTTACCACAGAGACATTTTTGGATGGAATCCAATTAGTCACTGTGAGTCTAAACAAGACAGAGTAAAAAGCAGTGAGTTGAGACACTTGGAATTTTCTTGGGTGTGCAGGCCAATTTTTTAAACGATTTCCAGAAATAACTTTGCAAATTTCAGTAAAATCACCATAATTATCCTCATCAATCACAGTAGGAGTTTGTAAATGAGAGTTGATAATTTTGGGAGAAAGAGAAAAGATGGAATTTCGCACAAAAACTTTGCCAAAGTTTGGAGAATTTTTCTTTAAAAAAGAAGTTTGCAAATTGGCATAAAATTCCTTCACAACCATGGGATCATAAGAGCAGGCAGTCTCAACTAGGTTAAGGATTTTTCTTTGGTGAAGAAAAGCTGTTATCCTATGCCTATCAAATTCTTCCTTAGAAATTTTCTTTTCCTCAATGAATTGACAATTCATGACTTGAGGACTCAACAGTGAATCAGATTCAAAATAAAAATTTGGACTGAAGGCATTGGTTACCTCAAAAGGTATTGACAAATTCTTCCCATCCAGGTCTGGTTCTTCTTCTTCTGAGGAATCATCATCTTCTGAATCTTCAAGCTCATCAGGGACATATGCTGGTTCAGGTGATGCAGCAGGTGGGGCAACACCTTCTTCTTGCTGAGAAGAGTCTTCAGAAGATTCACTGTCAGAATCAGAGGAAGGTAAATTCTTACGAAAAGCAGCTAGAGGAACCTCCCAGCTGTCATCACTTTTCTCTGGTTGTTCTTCAGTCTGAGGAGGAATTGCATCTGCTTGAGCTGCTGCTTCTGCCAGGGTTTCCAGAGGATCTCCCTGAGGTGCTGATGGAGTTTCTTCTGTAGTAGTGAACTCCTGAGCATCAACAGTGGGAATGTCGACATGCTCTGCAGAAGACATCCCAGAAAAATCAGGCATTTCTTCATCCTGATAGGGAGCAGCACCCTCAGAAGCATTCGGAGGAACATCTGTTGAAGCTGTGGGTGCAGCAGCATCTTCTGGAACAGGTGCAACAACACCTTCAGAAACAGGTGCAGCAACATCTTCAGGAATAGAATGTTGAGAGGCTGCTGTTGCCATGCTGGGCTCCCCCTGAGTTGATGCTGGGGAAGGTGAGTTGTTGGATGATGACTCGGAGGTGCTGGAGGACAAGGCTTGAGCCTGTGGTGCAGCAAAGGTGGGATCCCCTGCTTCATCATCAGTTTCTTCATCTACCAGATGAAGACCTCTTCGTGGATTTGACTGAACTGGAGTGCGGCCACCTCTGCCTCCTCTTCTTCCACCTCTGCTTCCTCTTCGGGGAGAGTGTTCTCCTCTTCGGCGTTGTGGCACCGCAGTATTCAGATCTGGAAAAGGGTTCGTGCGTTTTGACCGGCGTGTTGGAAACCTTCCGGCGGTGGAAGAGGGACCCACAAAATCAAAATTGTCTGGGTCAATCGGGTTCAGCTCATCTCCGGGCTCAATGTAGCTGATAGGTAGAGCATCGAAGTTGATTGGGTGAACGATGATGGCCAGATTTGGGTCTGCTGGTACAGGTGCTGCAGCATCGTTGTGAACATCACCATCGACGGCTGGAGGAGGATTTCTAGGTGGGGATGCCATGATACAGTAGATAAAGGAAAATAGCTTCTTTGTGCTTTTGATTTTTGAGTGTGAGTTTTTGAGAAAAGAAGCACTAAATTTATAAGCCCTAATTTTTGCTGAAGGAAGAAAGAAAAAATTGAAGTGGAGAAGGTGAAGAAGTGGTGTCCGTTTTTCTTGGGGAGAGTGAGATTAAGGAGAATAAAATTTCCTTGGCAGTTTAAAGAAAAACCGTGACACATGGCACAATAAGGAGTGGACTTAGTGGAAAAATAAGAGATTAACCCATGTACCCATGACCCATATAAATAGGGATAATTCAATAAAAATAAAAAAAACCGTAGCACTCATGAAATATTCACAAAAAATAGAAAAAAAAAAACACATTTATTAATGATTAATAGTGAGAAAAAAAATAGCTGACAGGCATAGATACAATTATATATATATATATATATTTTTTTTTTCTTTTTTTTTTTTTTTTTTTTTTTTATATATATAATATATGTATATATATAAACTCTTATTTTCAAGTCAAACAATTCACATGGAACATGATCAAGTGTTCAGTTTGAAGGTTCCTCAGTTACTAAGATATGACTATCAAAATAGAGGAGTTTGACTTATGTGAGTGTAATTATTGGCTAAATGTTTACATGAAGCATGATCACGTTTCAAGGTGAAAGACTTCCAGTTACTGATTTAGGAAATAATACATCACAGTGAAGTCATTATTTAATGAAGCTAATGCTTCAGTAAATTGTGTTGCAGCTTAAGATATTTGATGAGATGCTGCAACACGTTTCAGGACATGTTTATTGAGTACACATCCCGAGAGATTTTCTGAGTTTTGAAAACCTCTCATAATCTAATGCCTTTGTAAAGATGTCAGCCAGCTGATCTTCTGTAGGAATGTACTGTAAGCACACAATATTTTTCTCAACTATATCACGAATAAAATGATGTTTAATATCTATGTGTTTAGTTCGTGAGTGTTGAACAGGATTTTTTGAAATGTCAATAGCACTTGAATTATCACAATATATGGTCAGGGTATCACTGGTTAACCCATAATCCCCCAACATTTGTTTCATCCAAATTAGTTGACCACAACACCCTCCAGCAGCTACATATTCTGATTCAGCTGTTGAAAGAGATACACAGTTTTGCTTTCTACTAAACCAAGAAACTAGATTATTCCCCAGAAAGAAACATGCACCTGAGGTGCTTTTTCTGTCACTAATATCCCCAGCCCAATCAGAATCACTAAAGCCTATCAAGTTTGTATTTGTGTCTTTGAAAAACTGAATCCCTAAGTCTACTGTACCTGCAACATACCTAATAATCCTCTTCACAGCTTTAAGATGAGTGACCTTGGGATTAGCTTGATATCTGGCACACACACAAACACTAAACATAATATCAGCCATGCTTGCT